ATAGGCCCAGGGTCAGAAGAAGGTATATTTTCTATGTGAAATAAAAATATTATTTAAAAAAAAACAAACAAAAGTAATGCCATTGATCCAAAGTGCAAGGAGAAAAAGAATAAGTCATGTTCATTGTTTTGAGAATAATTCATTTATCAGGAGGCTGAAGGACACTCCTGGCTCTGTTCTTGTAGAACAGGAATTTACAATACGATATTCCTAACTGACACATTTGTGTTAAATTTCTACAGTCATTCAAGTGCAAGCATTTTCTGAGCACCTGTTATGTGCCAGGCACCCTGTTAGACACAAGGGATGTAGGTAAGAGGAAGGCAGCATTTTTGCCACCAAGACCTAGAGCTGTAGGGACGGTGCCCGGGAGGCTGCGCTGAGCACAGAAGCCACCAACACAACAGCACGGTGGGAGGCAGAGATGGGGGAGGCCCTCAACCTGGGGCTCAACAGCTCAGCTAACCAGGAGTTAATCAGGCCGAGAAAAAGGGAAAGGAGGCCGGGGGTGGTGGCTCACGCCTGTAATCCTAGCACTTTGGGAGGCAGAGGCGGGCAGATTGCCTGAGGTCATTTGAGACCACCCTGGGCAACATGGTGAAATCCAGTCTCAAATACAAAAAATTAGCTGGACATGGTGGCACACACCTGTAGTCCCAGCTACTTGAGAGACTGAGGCAGACAGAATCGATGGAACCAAGGAGGCAGAGGTTGCAGTGAGCTGAGATCGGGCCATTGCATTCCAGCCTGGGCGACAGAGCAAGACTCTGTCTCAGGGAAAAAAAAAAAAAAAAAGAGAAAGAGAGAAAAAGAAAAAGGGAAAGGAGATTCCAGGTTAGGGGAAAAATGGTCAGAGTTATGGAGAAAAAGAGACTGACAGGCTGCAAGCACAGGAGCCTTGGCTGTGGCTGGGCATGACTGTGGGAGGTGGGTGCTGGGAGTGCCAGGTCGTAGGGCCAGCTTCCCACTAGCACCGGGACCGCCCCTCCTCCCCAGAGAGTCACGTGGGCAAGGCCAGCTTCCCTCCACATCCCCACAGAGCACAAGGTCAGATGCATGGGTTGTTCCGGTCTGTGGGTGAGAAACGGGTTGTCTGTGTAGCATCTCTTCAGAGCGAAGTTGAGTCTTTTCATGTGGTTCCGTCATTTGCATCTTTTTTTTTTTTTCTCTGTGTGTTCTTCACTTCTCTAGCTATTTTCTCTACAAGGACTGACCTTTCCCTTTTGTATTTCTAGGAGCACTTGATATAGCCAAGATATTTAAGCTGCAACTACTTTCTCAGTCTGTTGTCTGCTTCTGATGTCTTTGAGCCACACGTACGTTTTTACATGCTCATAGGTAAAAAGGCTGCCAGGTTCTCGAAGAACCCACCCGTGGACTCTGCTGGGACACGCATGGCCGGATGGTTTTCATTAAACTTGTGGTCCGTTAGGAATGTGTCCTAGTCCATTTTATAAAGAATTGATCCAATTTTATCTTTTTAAATCTCTTCATTTACTGCAACACCACTTATATTTTAAAATATTAATTTAAAATAATATTTTAAAATTTATTTATTAAAAAAGAGGATATTGAGATGGAGTTTTGCCCATTGCCCAGGCTGGTCTCAAACTCCTGGGCTCAAACGATCTGTCCACCTCGGCCTCCCAAAGTGCTAGGATTGCAGACGTGAGCCATCGTGCCCAGCCTGCAACACCACTTATTAAAACACCTCTCTCCCCACTGATCTGAGATGTCCCTTTATCTGACCCATT